ACTACTGTGCACTATTTTTCTTTTTTTTTTTTTGGTCCTTTGTTGAAACAGCTTTCCATTGATTCTGGAGTTTCTCTGCTTTTCAGTGGTCAGATGTCCACATCCTGAACCCGCCAATGGAAAGCTGACGTCAGGATTTGGAAAACAATATTCCTACAAAGCAACAGTTGTGTTTACGTGCTCAGAGGGTTATTACTATAATGGAACCAACATAGCAGTCTGTGGCAGTAACGGTACTTGGGAGCCTGCAGCTCCAATGTGTTACAAAGGTACAATGGGTATCTGTTTCCTCCTCTCTCTCTCTTTTTTTGTAATTTTGTTTCTTTGACGTTAAATAACAATGACGCCAAAAATAGGCGCACGGTCGCAATTTTAGTATTGGACTCTGCCTTATATTCAGTTCCATGACAGATGTATTACAGAATTCACGGAAGCATTCTGCTGCTGTGATCTTATCCGTTTTCCTAGGGTCTTTGCATTTTATGCTGTGATCTTATCCGTTTTCCTAGGGTCTTTGCATGTTACGTATGTCACACAGGTATATAAGTTTCTCTTGTACGGCTTTTTTGTGTGTAAAAATGAAGGGGAGGTGGGTGGGAGATGGGGTGAATGGATGACCGGCATTAAGGAGGGCATGCTTTGGGACAAGCACTGAGTGTCCTGTGTAAGAGGTGAATCACTGGGTTCTACTCTTGAAGCCAAGACTACACTCACTGTATGTTAACTAACTTGAATTTAAATTTAAAAATAATGAAAGGTATAATTCACTTAAATGAAAAGAAAGCAGTAATTCGGGGGGAGGGGTGTACTAATCCAGTCTACATTATTTATTTATGTATTTTTTTGTCAGTACTGATTCCTCTCAGTGCTAGTCCTCCGATTTTGCATCATTCAGATTTAGTTAACTTTCTGCTTATATTTTCCAAAAGTCTTTTAAATTCCTGGTGCAAACGCCAGCAATAACCCCAAGATTTGATGCATCTACATTATTTTGTTTTCCAGCGTCAACTCCTCCCAGTACAAAACCTCCAATTCCGAGTGTCTCAGGTTTAGTACCTTCCTGCTTATATTTTTCAAAACCTTCTAAATCTCTAATGTTTTACACACATTTATCACGTTCAGTAATGAAAGGAGGAAGAACGTATCGATAGCCATTTTAAGTTGTTAGCGATTCTAAAATTATTTGCCATAGTATGCAGATATAAACAGGTACGTAAACTTGGGCAAGTTATGCAAACTTTAAATGTATTTACGTATTTGTAAAATGATTTTTTTTTTTTTTTTTTTTT